AGTCTAGGCAAGTCTAGTCTATAGTCAAGTTATAGTCTAGTCTATAGTCTAGTCTATAGTCTAGTCTATAGTCTGTCATAGTCTATCTATAACTAGTCTATGTCTATCTAGTCTAGTCTATAGTCAGTCTATAATCTAGTCTATAGTCTAGTCTATTAGTCTATATCTATCTATAGCATAGTCTAAAGTCAAGTCTAAGTCAGTCTCTATAGTCTTATCTAGTCTATAGTCTAGTCTATAGTCTAGTCTATAGTCTAGTCTTAGTCTGTCACATCTAGTTATGCTAGTCTATAGTCTAGTCTATAGTCTAGTCTATAGTCTAGTCTATAGTCTATTATAGTCTAGTCTATAGTCTAGTCTTAGTCTAGTCTATAGTCTATCTATAGTCAGATCAGTCTAAGTCTAGTCTATAGTCTAGTCTATAGTCTGTCTATAGTCTAGTCTATAGTCTGTCTAGTCTAGTCTATAGCTAGTCTATAGTCTAGTCTATAGTCTATCTATAGTCTAGTCTATAGTCTAGTCATAGTCTAGTCTATAGTCTATTCTATAGTCTAGTCTATAGTCTAGTCTTATAGTCTAGTCTATAGTCTAGTCTATAGTCTAGTCTATATCTAGTCTATAGTCTAGTCTATAGTCTAGTCTATAGTCTAGTCTATATCTAGTCTATAGTCTAGTCTATAGTCTAGTCTATAGTCTAGTCTATAGTCTAGTCTATAGTCTAATCTATAGTCTAGTCTATAGTCTAGACTATAGTCTAGTCTATAGTCTAGTCTAGTCTATAGTCTAGGAAATAGTAGGAATTTACCTGTTTTAAAAAAAGTTGGTGTTATTAACTTTTGCCACCTTCACCGCAAACAATTAAAACTAAACTATTTAAATTTTTTACAAAATTAACAACTTTTGCTGTTAAATTAAAAAATATTATAAATATTATTAGGTATTAACTTTAATAAAATCTTTTCATTATCTGTTTACTAAATTAATTTGACTTTGTGTTGTATTGAAGCTAAAAAACACGTCAGTAGTTTTTGTCAGCTTCCAAACATGTAAATTTGTAATGTTTTTCATTTTATTAATAACAAATTTTATTTAAATATTTATTTTTATAATTTATTGTGCACTTTTTATTATTTTATGAGGATAATTTAAATAAATTTATTTGATTTACTAAATTCATAATAATGATGTTTAGATGTCTCTCTTTTACCCGCTATTTTGTAACTGATATAAACAAAAGTGTAAAGAGTTGCCGGATGTTTGGAAAATATGTGGAGATAAACAAACACAGGGTTGTTGCAGAAAAATGCACTTGGAGTATAAGACCGCAAAAAAATAACAGACAGATTTTAAATTATTCTTTAAAATATATAATAAATTTTATTTAAACTATACCCTTATCCCAAATAATAAAAATAAAAATTTTATACACAAAAAAAAATTCTCTACCAAAATTCTCTTACAGATCATCCATATAACCCATTTCACAGGCATGTCTTATAGCATTCAAAACTTTCATATTGACCTCATCACCACCCGCCTCTAGAGACAATTTACGAAATTCCTCACCATGTAAATCAGTTTCAAATGTTTTCGATAGACCCGCACATTCCTCTTCGCTGCACAACATCCAGGGTAGAAAATGCGTACATATCATGACGCCGTAAAAAGCAAAGCGGGAAAAGTGCTTTTGGAATTTTTCAAAACTATAATGATGTAAAATTTCCTCCTGTTCTTTTTTCGATTTCTGGGAAGCTTTTAGTATAGTGGAAAGTGTGGAAAACATAGTGGAATGATAAGATTTTAATAAAACACCCCAAATTTCGTAACGTTCCTCTTCGGAGGTATTGAAATACATAAAGAATGACAAATCCAGGCAAGGGGAACCATAGCGCATTTCCTGGTATATAAAAAATTAACATTATAAAATGTTTTGGTATTTTTTTCAAACAAAATTTACCTGAAAATCTATCATTTTCATATCTTCCACTGACTTTTCCTCCTCCTTTCCTCCTTTAGCGGGTTTATATTTAAACAAAACATTATTACGATTATAGTCTCCATGTAGAATAGCACCAAATAGTTTGTCTTCTTCAGTTTCTTCGACTTTCGTTCTTATTTTCTCCATTAGTCGTGTAGGTTCCTCAAAGTATTTCGCTTTTAATTTATGCAAACATTCGATTAGTTTCAAATCTTTTGAGGACTTTCTATCAAATGTATTAGACTCAAATTTTCGCTCATAAAATTCAAATAAACGATCAAAAGCATGACGATATAACACACGATATAGATTAGTATTAGCATCATTGGGATCGTCCTCCTTGATAAAGGGCAGAGTTATAATGCCTGCCTTTAAACGATCTAGTTGGTTGGGGTTTAAGGCCCTGAGGGCATAGGATAAAGCATGATATTGTCCTATAGTTTTGCACATATGTAACAAATGATCACGATTAAGCACTAATCTAGGGCCTAGTTGATAACCCAAGGGCTTAAGATTTTCCATAACTAAAGAACACTCCCGTTCTTGGGGTGAAGAGCTTAAACCTGTTTTAATAAAAATAATCAAAATTCTTGTTCAGTTCAAATGCAGTAGAAAATTTCCACCTAAAACTTACCTTCAATATAACCAAATTTGGCCACAAAAGTGGGAGGCACCAAATCTTTTACATTGATAGTGGTGACACCCAAATCTTTCAAAAACTTTTCGTAATAAGGCAAAACCGTGCCATAGATATAGATCTCATTGGCAAATTGTATATAGGATTTACTGGATTCCCTAAAGGCCACATCACCGCGCATAAATTTGGCTATTAGTAAACGTTCTTTTTCGCTAAAAAGAAAATATTCTTTAAAATGACTAAAATTTGTATTACTTTCAACCTTACCCTTTGGCAGTTTTAGTTTTTAATTGTATATTATATAAAGTGGACATAAAACCATCTAAACCACCCGAATTTTCCGCTTTAAATGAAATCAATTCCTCATTGTCTAATTGGGATACGATTTCCGGTATTAAATACTTTTCTATATAAATTTCCTGTTGGGAAGACATATTCTAAAGTTGGAAGAAAAAGAAGATAATACCCGTAAAAATTGCTAAAAACTAGTTATTATTGTTTTTCCTGCAATGAAACAGCTGGTCACTCTAAACACAATAAAATCTATTTGACATTGCATTCTAATTAAACTCTAACAACACGTCATGTTTTTTTCTCTATTATTTTCTCATTAGATTATTTTTAATATTTCTTACCTCTAGTATAAAATTATTATATCAAAAACACTACTTTATCTTAATTATACTATTAAAAAACTAAATTGTCTAATTATTTACAAAATTTCAAGTTCAAAATTGAAGTGTTTGTTTTGTCTCCTATTTCTTATCACTAGAACAAAAACACCGAGTGCAAAATGCAATTATAAAAACAAAGCTGCCACATGGTTAGTAAAAGCAAAACAAACAGCTGTTAAAAACAGAGTTAACGGATATTTTAAGTAAAATACTCGAAAATTATAGTTAGTAAGAAATTTAAATTTTTGTTTGCAGTTTTTTTAAGAAAAATTTGTATTTAATTGAATTTGAATAGTAAAATATATTATTTACATAAAAAGCTCTATAAATTAAGCAAAATAGTAGAAAAATTGGAGAAAAAATTAAGAAAAATTTCCATGGAAAGTGTTTAGCAACATTCGTTTCTCAAAAGACAATTTTCAAAAGAATTCGATTATAATAACAAATTTCGGAATTCTAGATAACATTTTCGATATTTTCAATTTCAATAGAAATTTGTTAAAAATAAAAATGTTTTTAAACTTTTAGATTTGAACAGAAATTTAACAAAATTTTCACATATAATAAAAATATTTTTAATAAAAAACGAAATTTTTTCATAAAAAAATTTCGATTTTTATAGAATAATTCCGAATTGCGTAAAAAATATTCGAATTTCAATAGAAAGTTTTCAAAACTTTATATTTCAATAATAATATTCAATATTATATTTATTTTTATTTTTAATAGAAATTTTAGTTCTCAATAGAAAGTTTTCAAAAATTTTCTGTTTTCCATAAAAAACTTAAAATAATTTCTGTTTTCAATAAAATAGTTCACAAAATTTTGTGCTTCAATAGAAAATATTGCAAAATTATCTGTTTTCAATAGAAAATTTTCGAATTCAATAGAATATTACTCATATTCTATGTTAATAAAAAATTCTAAAAATTTAGTTTCAGATTGAATTTAATTCAGATTATAATTTAAAATTATTTATGTTTTCAGTTCAAAAAAAATTTGTTATTCAATGGAAAATGTTGCAAAGTTTCTATTGCAATACAAATTGTATTTACTGTAAATACTGAAATTTCATTTTAAAAATGTTGAATTAAAAAATTTCAATATTTTTGTTTTTAGTAAAAATATTTAGAAATTTTCGATTTCAGTATGAAATGTTCAATTTCAGTGGAAATTTTTAATTTTCATAAGAAACATTTCAAAATTTTTGATTCCAACAGTAACTTGAAAAATCGTTTTAAAAAATGTTACAAATTTGTTGTTTTCAATACAAAATTAATTTATATCTGTAGGAAAATAAATTCTTAATATATTATAGAGAGTTTTCAAAAATTTTCTATTTCAAAAGATTTTAATGACCACTTCCGAAATTTGCTTTTTACGACGACATATGATTTGCCGAATATAACTCTTACTTCTTACTTATTTTAATCATAAAGAAATTACCGCTAAAATAGGAATAGTCTGCCTTCAGAGTTGCGAGTTTTCATACACTCTAATAATGTTTTCAAAGTGAAACTTTTGGAATATTTTTCAATCACTTTGTGATCCCTTTAAATGATGTTGTTCTGGAAGAACTTTAACATCCATGTAAACATTTTGGGTAATAAATTGGGGGACTACCAATGAGGGGAGCGGAACCTCCCATATGAATTATATACAAAAATTCGTTTATCTGGGAAACTAATACAACTAAATTCTTCAAATTTTGCACGAAGAACTTTAATATTCATCTGAATATTTTGGAGAAAAAAGGGCGGATTTTCATCTGGGGGGCTTGGAGCTCTCATATGAATTAAATAGAAAAATTCGTATATCTGAGAAACTATTAGAGCTAGAATCTTCAAATTTTACTGAAGAACATTTAGAGAATTACGGGCGGACTTTCAATGGGGGGCTTGGCACTTTCCATATGAATTAAATACAAAATTTTGTATATCTGGGAAACTATTAGATTATTCAAATTTTTCATAGATTAAATTAAAATCTTAATTAACGTTCGGAATAATTTAATTTGCGTGGAATCTCCCATATGTAACAAATTGTATATCTGGAAAACCATTGTAGTTAGAATCATCAAAATCGTTAAGTGGGTTTCTTATTTATATTGCTTTTAGGGTAGCACAGCACACTGGTTATAGCTAGTAATTTTATTTGTTTTGTTTTTACGTTATTGATAATTTTCTTGATGCAAAATTTGTTAGAAACTGATTTTCTGCAAGATCTTTTATATGGAGGATAGGGTTAAATATCGGCAGATACTTGTAAAACTTGGAGAAAGGATTTGTTTTTAATTTTTAAGAATTTTTTATTCATCCCTGCATAATTTCTCACACAACTTTTGAGCTTGCTCTGTTTTGTTGTTATAAACAATATATTTGCTTCCAAAATCCCATTTTCTGATCTCTTGGATTCCGTTTTTATTTAAAATCGTTGTAAATTTAAAAACTAAACAGTCGATTTTAAACCGCCGCCGACATATTTAGTGTCAGTCACCGCCGCCGTTAATATTTGTCGGCGCAGGGCTCTGATGGCGAGCGATAAAAATACGCCAAAAATGCGAGACCAGCTGTTTTTGCGCATTTTTTTATCAACGAAAACGTCATTATCACAAAAAAGTCAAATTCGTTTTTCTATATATTTTGCAGCAACAACAATTTTATAAAAGTGAGCGAAAAAATAATTATTTATTAAACAAAAATAACAATAAAAAAACTAACAACAACTAATAAATATAAACAAGTTTTTCCAATAAACAAAGAGTGAAAAATAAAACAACAAAGCAAATGACATAAACAAAGCGAAAAAATAACTTAATTTGACACCAATTGATAAAAATCAGTAGAACCTCCAAGAAAAAAAAGCAATAAGAAAAAAATCAAGAAAAATAAATGGAGTTATGGCTGAACTGGAACAATTGGAAGCATGTCGTATTTGTGTAAACTGTTTTCCTTTACAAGAAATGGATTTCATCAATATTTTCCAGCCAAATGAAGAATTTCAGCAAGAACTCGATTTCATACAGGGCGAAATACGACAGTGGCAACTTAAAATACAAGCCGATGATGGTCTGCCACAGCGCATTTGTGCAAATTGTTTTGCCAAGTTTTGCAGCATAGAGGCCTTTCGCAAGGAATGTGAAGCGGCCCAGGAAAAGCTATTGCAGACCTTAATGCAGCAAAGCTCTGCTAATGAGCCGGAGGTCCAAAATGTAATTAAGAACCTAGAGACACCGCTGCCTTTGGTGGGTAATTACGATAGCGGCAGTGTGGTATTGGATACTGCCAACAATGTTTTGGTCTCTTCCGTGAATGTAACACAGTCGGATGTATCGCTTAATGATTTTCCTGTATTCGATCAACAATTTTCCCATTTCGATAATCCCGCTCTAATGGATGCCTCTTCCACTTTATTGGATAGTAATTTGATAGCTGCTGATACTTCCCAGGAATTGGGCTTTTTACCGTCACAAAATCTATTTACATTTGAGACTGCCGAATCACCCACTACGGGTACACTGCCATTAGTTGAGACTGAAACGACGTCCATGATGAATGATATAATGCCGGTAAAGCCGGAAGAGGTTGTTGGAGGTGGAGGAGCAGTAGGTGGCGGCGTTGGGGATATAATTATAAAACAAGATCTCGAAGATATGTTACAGCGCAGTATTATACCAACTAACACCAAATTAACACAACAAAGAGTAGTAACTGCAGGAGTAGAAGGTGGTGGGGAACAAAAGTCGAATAACAGCAATGCGGTGACCAACAAAATGGAATCACAGGAGGTTAAAAAAGTAACAGGAAATCAATATATTAATAATAATTATACTATAAGAGGAAGGAATGGTAAGTTATTGAACATTTTCTATGGAAAATGGAAAAAAAAAAACAGAAATTTTAATAAATTTTCTACTGAAATTTGGAAATATTGAAAAATTTATAATGAAATTTTTTTTTTTTTTGAAATTTTTTTATCGAAAACAGAAAATTTGAGTTTTTTTTATGAAAAATATAAAATTTTTAAAAAAGTTTTATTGAAAATGATAATTTTTTATTGAAAACAAATATTTTGAAATTAAATTTTGAAAAAAGTATAAAAATTGAAAATATTTTTTATTTTTTTAAATCGAAAAATTTTGAAATTTTTCTATAAAAATCGAATGTTTGTTAAAAATTTTCTTAAAAATCGAACATTATTTGAAAAATTTTATAAAAAAAATTTTAATTTTTTCTTCCAGACTATACCACCATAACCTTCATAAATCGTGAGGACACTAACTCCGACATGGAATGCGATGACTCTGATATGAATGCCCGTTTAAAGGGTTTATCTTATGCTTGCCATTATTGCTTCTGTCCCGAAACAGGACCCATCGAACATCTCGTCTTCCCCAATGAAGATGCTCTATCACAGCATTTTTTCGACATACACGATCCCAATCGCCCATACACTTGCCCCAAATGTCCACAATCCTATAAAACTCAATTGTTACGTGACAATCACGTTCGCCTAATACACAAAATCACCGAAATACAAACTTGCAATTATTGTCAGAAACGTTTAAAAGGCTCTACAGATGTACATCAATATAATTGCCAATATGTGGGTGACTGGGAGTGTCAACATTGTAAGGAGAAATTCCCACAAACACCTCTCTATCGTTTTCGTTTGCATCAACGTCAACACGAACGCATTAAACAATTCAAGTGTCGTTTGTGTGAACGTACATTTATGAGAAAAGCCAACTTGGAGGCTCATCAAAGAATGCACAAGGCGGAAGTGCAGTCCACATACTCTTGCAATATTTGCAAAGCTAGTAAGTAGTTCTCAAGAAATCTCATTAAATAAATCTTAACAATAAATATCGATTATATTGTGTTATTGTTATATTAACCTTGTGTATTTTAATAGATTTTGTCGATGACTATGAGCTAAAACGTCATAAGTATCAACAACACAATGCAGAGGCCCCTCTCAAGTGTAAATTTTGCCATAAAGGTATTAAAATCAATTATAAACTATTCACTATGGTTTCATTAAAACACCCACAATATATGTTTTAGGTTTTTCTTCCATTGTATTTTTACAACGCCATATGAATCAATATCATCCAGACAATGCAAAAAATCATCACAATAACAACAACAACAATAATAATACCTGTTCTTCTACTGCTTCGTCTTCAACATCATCATCTGCATTGAACTCACCTACCGAGTTGCAACACACTTGTTTGAATTGTAATATGGGTTTCAAAACTTTACAAAAATTACAAAATCATTTACTATTGGGTCGTGACAAAAATGGCAATTGTTTGTATAATGCTTGCAATAAACAGGAGCGTCGTAAACTTCAGCGTCAGGGTGTTTATCCTTGTTTTCATTGTCCGCGTCGTTTTCATTTGAGGTCTCAGTTAGATAAACATTTGAATACTCATGATGCTCGTTTGCGGCCCTTTCAGTGCGAACAATGTGTTACACGCTGTCGCACTAGCTGTGAATTGAAACAGCATGTAAATGTGGCCCATTTGAATATTAAGGCCTTTTCTTGCGATAAATGTGGTAAAAGTTTTGGCTACAAAAAGGATCTAAGGGATCATATGCTTTTTCATGCAGGTGAGTTTTATTTGTTTGAATTAAACGCTATACACTAGAGAATAGACAAGAATATAGACAATAGAATAGACTAGACTATAGACTACAGAATAGACTAGACTATAGACTAGACTTTAGACTAGACTATAGACTAGACTTTAGACTAGACTATAGACTAGACTATAGATGAGACAATAGACTAGACTATAGATGAGACAATAGACTAGACTATAGACTAGACTAGACTAGACTATAGACTAGACTATAGACTAGACTATAGACTAGACTATAGACTAGACTATAGACTAGACTATAGACTAGACTATAGACTAGACTATAGACTAGACTATAGACTAGACTATAGACTAGACTATAGACTAGACTATAGACTAGACTATATACAGACTATAGACTAGAACTAGACTAGAATAGCCTAGACTATAGACTAGACTATAGACTAGAACTAGACTAGACTATAGACTAGACTATAGACTAGACTATAGACTAGACTATAGACTAGACTATAGACTAGACTATAGACTAGACTATAGACTAGACTATGACTAGACTATAGACTAGACTATAGACTAGACTATAGACTAGACTATAGACTAGACTATAGACTAGACTATAGACTAGACTATAGACTAGACTATAGACTAGACTATAGACTAGACTATAGACTCGACTATAGACTAGACTATAGACTAGACTATAGACTAGACTATAGACTAGACTATAGACTAGACTATAGACTAGACTATAGACTAGACTATAGACTAGACTATAGACTAGACTATAGACTAGACTATAGACTAGACTATAGACTAGACTATAGACTAGACTATAGACTAGACTATAGACTAGACTATAGACTAGACTATAGACTAGACTATAGACTAGACTATAGACTAGACTATAGACTAGACTATAGACTAGACTATAGACTAGACTATAGACTAGACTATAGACTAGACTATAGACTAGACTATAGACTAGACTATAGACTAGACTATAGACTAGACTATAGACTAGACTATAGACTAGACTATAGACTAGACTATAGACTAGACTATAGACTAGACTATAGACTAGACTACTAGACTAGACTATAGACTAGACTATAGACTAGACTATAGATTAGACTTTATACTGTAGACTACACTAATAACTAGACTATGGAATAGACTATAGACCACACCATAGACTAGAGTATTGACTAGAATATAAAGTGAACTAGAATAAAGACATTAGACTATAGATTAGACCTCAAACTATAGTCCAGACTATAGTACAGACTATAGTAATGACTATAGTAATGACTATAGTATTGACTATAGGACAGGTTATAGTACCAGACTATAGTACATACTATAGACCAGACTATAGTACATACTATAGACCAGACTATAGTACATACTATAGACCAGACTATAGTTCAGACTATAGTCCAGACTATATTACAGACTATACTACAGACTATAGTACAGACTATAGTACAGACTATAGTACAGACTATAGTACAGACTATAGTCCAGACTATAGTCCAGACTATAGTACAGACCATAGTACAGACTATAGACCAGACTATAGTACAGACTATAGTACAGACTATAGTACAGACTATAGTTCAGACTATAGTCCAGACTGTAGTACAGACTATAGTCCAGACTATAGTACAGACTATAGTACATACTATAGTACAGACTATAGTACAGACTATAGTACAGACTATAGTACAGACTATAGTGCAGACTATAGTACAGACTATAGTCCAGACTATAGTGCAGACTATAGTCCAGACTATAGTGCAGACTATAGTCCAGACTATAGAATAGTTTCTTTTAATATCGAAAATTTCATTTTTTTAGAAATCAATGTGCACTGCACCGAAGAAGGTTGTGATTATGTGTGTAAAAATGAAAAGGCTTTAAATGATCATATACGTCACAAACATCGTTTATTGTCTTGCGAATATTGCCAGGAACAGTTTACCAGACAAAAATTAACAGGTATTTTGATTAATTCACAAAAGAAGAATAAGAAATATTTAAGATTTTTGCATTTTTTTCCTGCCATTACAGCTCATTTACGTAAAGTACATCGTGCCGAAATTGATGTAGAATTAGCTGGCGAATCTGATAACTATTATAAATCTCAATTACTTAATAATAACAATGATATTACACAAATCTCGTTTAATTTACTTAATACTCAACAGCAACAAACACAACAACAGCAACAAGAGCAATTAACAAATAATACATCAACACAACTGCCACTAACTTCATCATCATCAGCGGTAGTTTCATCTCAAACTTTAAATGCGGTTATATCAAGCTCATCATCGAATACTTTGACAACTACATCAGCATTATTAACTATGAACACATTACTTACAGCTTCACCCACCATTACATCATCATCATCATCAGCTGTTTCATTAACATCTTGTTTAACACCCACCATAACAACAAAACAAGGTACTAATTTAATTACTAATACTACTTCCATTTCTACACACAATCTTTTAAATGATGTTGATCATCATCATGATCAATTGTGTGCCATGTTTGCAACAGATCCTCATGATTCAAATACCAATACCACTTTAGCTTTAAATGGTTTGGTCTCTAATGTACATGATGATTTAAATTTAGTGACCAATGATGCTACCAATATGTTTTTGGTGCCCACAACATCATCCACATCAAATGACAACCAATTAGATCAGTATTTTATGGCCTCTTTAATTGATACTGAACAAGAAATCATTGTTACATAGCATCAAATATTTTAAATTGAATTATACATATAATTGTAGTGAAATGAAAACAAAACAAAAACAAATTAAGTAGAAATTTCTAAAACCCAGTAAAATGAAAGCACTGAATTTCTAAAAAGCTTTTATTATATAAACATTTTTTTTTTATAAATTTAATAACTTTTTTACCACAATTTAATATTTATATTATTAAGCTTATAGTTTAGAGAAACCTTCCCCCTCTCAACCCTTTTTTTATACACTTATTTTAAAAACCAACAACCAACTTTTTAACAACTCTAGCGTACTTTTACAAAAAGGCTTTTATACTTAAACAAATTTATATATTTAAAACTCATTTCCATTTTTTTATATAAAAAAAAATCTCTTGAAAGTATTTATTAAGTGAAAAAACAAATTCATTTTACCTTGCCCCACCATTCCCCACTCAGCACGTAGAAAAATTTGATTTTTATACATTTTTATTTTAGGATTTTTAAAAAATCTAACTAATCTTTTAATTTTTTAAAAATTTTAAATCTTTTTCGTTAATTTATTTATATTTATTTGCCAAATTATTAACAAAATTTTAACTACTAACACCAATTGAAACATAGATATTTGTAGAACTATGGAAATTATATTATTTTTAAAAGAAATAGGTTTAATGTTGCAATTAATCTGAAGAAAATCTTCAGAAAACTGCTTAGAATTTTTGTATGATTAGTATAAGATTATAATCAAACTATAATACGGATTTTAGTTAAACTATAGTTAGGTTTATAGTTAAACTTTAGTCCAAACTATAGTTCAGACTATACCTCAGATTATAGTTCAGATAATATATTCAAGCTATATTACGGATTATACTTTGACTGTAGTTCACTCCTTAGTTAAGAACATAGTTCAAACTATTCTTCTGGATTTTTCTATACTTAAGAATATAGTAGAGATTATAGTCCAGGCTTCTGAACTGTAGCCCAGACTATAGTCCAGACCATTGTTCAGGCTATAACCTGAACTATAGTCCAAACTGTAGATTTGATTATAGGCCGGGCTATACACTACGCTATAGCTCAGGAAATATACTCGACTATTGTCCAAGCTATAAATTAGACTATAGTTCTTCATACAGACTAGACTATAGTTCAGACAATATACAAGACTATAGTCCATACTGTGCTCTGGCTGGTGTATAGACTAGACTATAATCCAGACTTTAGACTAAACTAGAGTCTAGACTATAGACTAGACAAGAGTCCAGACTATAGACTAGACTATAGTCCAAATTATAGACTACACTAAAGTCTGGACTATAGACTAGACTATAGACTGGACTATAGACTAGACTATTGTCGAGACTGTAGACTACACTATTGCCCAGACTATCGACTAGACTATCAACTAGACTATCGGCTACACTCCAGTCTATAGTCTGGACTATTGTCCAGACTATAGACTGGACTATTGTCCAGACTATAGACTGGACTATTGTCCAGACTATAGACTGGACTATAGTCTAGTCTATAGCCTGGACTACAGTCCAGACTATAGAATAGACTATAATCCAGACTGTACACTAGTCTATAAAATACTTTAAGTCCACTATAGTCCAGACCATAGTCTAGTTTATAGTCTGGACTACAGTCCAGTCTATAGTCTAGTCTACAGTCTGGACCAAAGTCTAGTCCACAGTCTTGACTATAGTCTAGTCCATAGTCTCGACTATAGTCTAGTCTATAGTCTAGTATATAGTCTAGTCTATGGTCTCGACTATAGTTTAGTCTATAGTCTCGACTATAGTTTAGTCTATAGCCTGGACTATAGTCTAGTCTATAGTCTGGAATATAGACTAGACTATGGTCCAGACTAAAGACTAGATTATAGTCCAGACTATAGACTAGACTATAGTCCAGATTATAGACTAGTCTATAGACTAGACTATAGTCCAGATTATAGACTAGACTATAGTCTAGACTATAGTCCAGACTATGGACTAGACTATAGACTAGACTATAGTCCAGACTATAGACTAGACTATAGTCCAGACTATAGACTAGAATATAGTCTATACTATAGTCCAGACTATAGACTAGTCTATAGTCCAGACTATAGACTAGACTATAGTCCAGACTATAGAGTAGACTGTGGTCCAGACTAAAGACTAGATTATAGTCCAAACTATGGACTAGACTTTGCTCCAGACTATAGACTAGACTATAGTCCAGACTGTAGACTAGACTATATTCAGGCCTTTAGAATAGACTATAGTACTGACTATAAACCAGACTAAACTATAAACTAGACTATAGTCTAGACTACAGTATTATAGTTCAGACTATAGACTAGACTATAGTCCAGACTATAGACTAGACTATAGACTAGACTATAGTCTGGACTATAGTCTAGTCTATAGTCTAGTCTATAGTCTGGACTATAGTCCAGACTATAGACTAGACTATAGTCCAGACTATAGATTGGACAGTTTTTGGTTTTACTAGCATTTTTCTTGGCATTTCAGTTTTTTTGAAATATTTTTACAAAAGATTTGAATTTACTAAATTATAAACCCCACTATTTATACGAATTGTTTATAAAAATTTATACAAAATATTATTATAATACAATATAGTAATTGTTATTTAATTAGGCTTAACTTTTTTCAAAATTTTAGTTGAAAAATTATTAAACTAACTACCAGTATTCTTATTTAAATCAAAAATTTTGTTTAGATTCAAAACTTTTGTTTGTAAATCCTAAAGAGTGATACTTAAGCGTTAAAGAAAAAGTGAAGCGAATAGGAAAATGTAGGAAAATTATTGTGAAATTGTTCCTTTTACTTTATCTTTGACATTACAAATCTGTCAGTTAAAATTTGTTTAGAATCTGAAACTAACTTAACATTAACTTTATTTGAATATAAAATATAGCTAAAAATTTGTTTTAACATTATCTATTTGCTAAAGTAAAAATTTCCTCTTTTTTTTTGTAGATTATTTGATTTAGGTTCTTATTGCAATAATCTTAAATCTTAGAATGTTTAATAGTACTCGAAATTAACTATTTTTGAAAACATATTGGAATTTCTTTAACTGATTAACAAAATGTTATCTAAATAACAATTTTATTCATTTCCTTTTCAAACTAAATTGCAAGTTTTGTTAGATATTTTTTATTTTCTCTCTTTCTCTTTCTTGTTTTTTTTTTTTTTAATTTAAACCCTTAACACTTGAATTGCCGTCTTTCCTGCCCTTAAACCATTTATAATTTATTTTATTTTTTCTTTTATAAAAAAGATCTTAAACTTATTATTTCCATAACTCACTCTCTAACACACGTTATTATTATTATTCCCTAATCTTATCACCTCAATAGTATTATTAATAAGGAAAACAAATACAACTTTAACAAATCAAAATCAAATACAAAATTAGTTCTAAATATTGTTAGAAAACAAAAAACAAAAAATGCAACCGCCTCATTAGAGGCAAATCATATTATTACATTAGTTTTATTAAGTAGTTTTTTAAAACAATAATGTATGAGTAAATTGTATTGAATTAAATGGAACGAAAAGAGAAATAAAAAGAAATACAAATCAAACATCCAATCAACCTTAAATCATACATTTCTAACAAAATCCCTGATCTTTACAAGAGCCAAGTTAAATTATAAAAAAAAAAAAAAAAAATAATAAAAATAAATTGCAACAATTTAACAAATTAGTTTTTAAGTGTAATTACTTAAAATGCTAAGCAAATAAAAAGAAACAAAATACAATACAACAACAACAACAACAAAATATAATAATTTACTATTAAGAAACCTAAACTCTCTCCCAATTTTTTTTGATAAATAAATTGAAAAAAAAAAAACAAACTCAACTCAAAAAAATATGCCGGCGTTTCATTTTAAATTCATAAATTAACAATATTTCAGACTATACACTAGACTATGGTCCAGACTATAGAATAGACTATGAATATATTATAGTCCGGACTATAGAATTGAATATAGTCTAGACTATAGAGCAGACTATAGCCTATTATAGTCTAGACTATAGAACAGACTATAGAATATACCATAGTCAAGGCTATAGAATAGTCTATAGTCTGGACTTAAGAATAGATTATAGTCTGGACTATAGAATAGACTACAGTCTGGACTATAGAATAGACTACAGTCTGGACTATAGAATAGACTACAGTCTGGACTATAGAATAGACTACAGTCTGGACTATATAATAGATTATAGTCTGGACTATAGAATAGGCTACAGTCTGGACTATAGAATAGACTACAGTCTGGACTATAGAATAGACTACAGTCTGGACTATAGAATAGACTACAGTTTGGACTAAAGAATAGACTATAGTCTGGACTATAGAATAGACTACAGTCTGGACTATAGAATAGACTATAGTCTGGACTATAGAATAGACTATAGTCTGGACTATAGAATAGACTATTGTCTGGACTATAGAATAGACTATAGTCTGGACTATAGAATAGACTATAGTCTGGACTATAGAATAGACTATAGTCTGGACTATAGAATAGACTATAGTCTGGACTATAGAATAGACTATAGTCTGGACTATAGAATAGATTATAGTCTGGACTATAGAATAGATTATATTCTGGACTATAGAATAGACTATAGTCTGGACTATAGAATAGATTATAGTAGGGCTATAGAATGGACTATAGTCTGGACTATAGAATAGACTCTAGAATAGACTATAGTCTGGACTATAGAATAGACTATAGTCTGGTCTATAGAAAAGACTATAGAATAGACTATAGAAAAGAATATAGAATAGACTATAGAATAGACTATAGTCTGGACTGTAGAATAGACTAAAGTCTGGACTATAGAATAGACCATAGTCTGGACTATAGAATAGACCATAGTCTGGACTATAGAATAGACTATAGTCTGGACTATAGAATAGGCTATAGTCTGGACCATAGAATAGACTATAGTCTGGACCATAGAATAAACTATAGTCTGGACCATAGAATAGACTATAGTCCGGACTATGAGTAGACTATAGTCTGGACTATAAAATAGAATATAGTCTGGACTATAGAATAGTCTATAGTCTGATCTTAAGAATAGACTATAGTCTGGACTACAGAATGGCCTATAGTCTGGACTATAGAATAGACTATAGTCTGGACTATAGAATAGACTATAGTCTGGACTATACAATAGACTATAGTCTGGACTATAGAATAGACTATAGTCTGGACTATACAATAGACTATAGTCTGGACTATAAAATAGACTATAGTCTGGACTATACAATAGACTATAGTCTGGACTATAGAATAGACTATAGTCTGGACTATAGAATAGACTATAGTCTGGACTATAGAATAGACTATAGTCTGGACTATAGTCTGGACTATAGAATAGACTATAGTCTGGACTATAGAATAGACTATAGTCTGGACTATAGTCTGGACTATAGAATAGACTATAGTCTGGACTATAGAATAGACTATAGTCTGGACTATAGAATAGACTATAGTCTGGACTATAGAATAGACTATAGTCTGGACTATAAAATAGACTATAGTCTGGACTATAGAATAGACTATAGTCTGGACTATAGAATAGACTATAGTCTGGACTATAGAATAGACTATAGTCTGGACTATAGAATAGACTATAGTCTGGACTATAGAATAGACTATAGTCTGGACTATAGAATAGACCATAGTCTGGACTATAGACTAGACTATAGTCTGGACTATAGAATATACTATAGTCTGGACTATAGAATAGACTATAGTCTGGACTATAGAATAGACTATAGTCTGGACCATAGAATAGACTATAGTCAGGACTGTAGAATAGACTATAGTCTGGACTATAGAATAGACTATAGAATAGACTATAGTCTGGACTATAGAATAGACTATAGTCTGGACTATAGAATAGACTACAGTCTAGACTATAAAATAGACTATACTCTAAACTACAGAACAGACTATAGTCAAAACTATAGAATAGACTATAGCCTTGAATATAGTCCAGACTATAGCCTTGACTATAGCCTTGACTATAGCCTTGACTATAGTCCAGACTATAGCCTTGACTATAGTCCAGACTATGACTTTAGTCCAGACTATAGTCATGGCTTTACTCCAGATTATATCATTGACTATAGTCCAGACTATAGCATTGACTATAGTCCAGACTATAGCATTGACTATAGTCCAGATTACAGACTATACTAGACTATAGTCCACATTATATGCTAACCTATAGTTCAGATTAGAGACTAGACTATAGTCCACACTAAATACTAGACTATAGTCTTCACTATAGACTCATTAAGTTAACAAATCAATTTTCGATTCTCCACAACCCCTGGCCCTCCCATTCATTCTTTGTACACATTTCTAATTAAAAAAACAACATAATTTTAAAATCAAAGACCCTAAAAATTTTTGATAACATTTTGTTGGTTTGATTTACGTTTGTTAAAATAATCAATTTTATTGCATTCTTTAAGAATTTCTGTTATTTTATTATTATTTTTTTCTGTTTACTGATAGCTAATGACGTTAAACTTTATTAAGCTTTTTATTCAAGTTTCAGACTTGTCTGTGTTTGGGGGGAAATCATGGTAAACATTTGTTTTTTTTTTATTTAAATTGTTTTTTATTAGTTATTTAATTTTTTATATAAATTTAATATACAAATACATAATTGCTAAATCAATAAATAAACTTAAACTTATAACAAATAATTAGGTTTACAATAAAGTTTTTAAAGAGGAAAAAGTTCTTCATTTAAGCTAAAAAATCCTGACTTAGAGAAAAGCTTTTACAACTAAATTATCTGTTTAAAAGGAAAATAAGCCAAAAGTGCTTTCAATAAATGACAAAATGTCCTTAAAATAAAAGATTTTAAGGACATTATGCTTTTTGTAAAAGTTTTTGTAAATTTTATTTAAAAAATTTATTTCTTCCAATCTTTACATGAAAGAAACTTTTGCACTAAAAGCATTCTATAAAAGAAACTTTAACTATAGCTTTCTATAAAAGATGCTTTATTACTAAAAGCTTTCTTTAAGAATTGATTTTTTCTAAAAACTTTCTATAAAAAAGCAGTTATTCTAAAAGCTTAGTATAAAAAATTTTGGTTTAAAAAAGCTTTTCAAGTACTTCTATTTCATTTACATGAAAGAAACTTTTGCACTAAAAGCATTCTATAAAAGAAACTTTAACTATAGCTTTCTATAAAAGATGCTTTATTACTAAAAGCTTTCTTTAAGAATTGATTTTTTCTAAAAACTTTCTATAAAAAAGCAGTTATTCTAAAAGCTTAGTATAAATTTTTTTGGTTTCAAAAAGCTTTTCAAGTACTTTTATTTCAAAAGCTGCTTGAAAGCTCTTCTTAAGAAAAGACCTTATTAAAATTTTAATTTCTGGAAACTTTAATTCCCTCAAACAGTTCGAATCACAAAAGTTCAATCATTGCATTCCATTTTTTGTACCCATAACTTTCTTTAAATTTCTTTGAATTGATACCGATTAGGAACAAATTCCAAATAATATTCCTAGAATTTAAAATTAAAGCATCATGGTTTATGATCTTTGCTCCTTTTTAGTTATCAAATTTTAACTCATGGTAGAAGTTTTTGTTTTTTTGACTAAATCACTTTTAGTTTGAAATGAAAATTTCAAGATAACAATAACGAGTTATTAAATTTAGGTCAATATTTGTTTAGACTTTAACACTTATAGGCCCAATATTAAGCGAGTGGGGGAGAGGTGTTCTTAGATACTGTTATGCCGTGTGAAACTTAGCGAACTATTGTTCAAAGAGAGGGTTTGAGGGTTCTTACGACATATGAAGAGGTTTTGTGGTAATTTGTTAAACAGTCAGACTTTTTATATGTCCGTCTTACTGCTAAAGGTACAAGTGGTCCTTCTGATTTCCTGTTAAAGGTAGGAAACTGTTCATCATACTCCCATCTTTCTGAAGTCACCAATGTATCCCTCGTTCCCTTTTAAGACATTCCCTCTGACTATCTCTTTTATAGTCTGTCTGTCTGTCTGTCTGTCTGCCCATTGAAAGCATAAGACTGTCCATTTGTCTTGACCGTTTTTCTGTTTAAAAGCTCTAAATTGACATCTTTTCTCACGTTTGTCTTAATATAGAAAGTATGAATTTGTGCGTCTTTCAGTCTATCTCCGAAATAGTCCACGAAATAGTCCACATTTCCGTCCGTCTGTCTTCTTGCACGATACTGTCCGTCCGTCTTTGAGTTTAAGGTACGAAATACTTAGTCCGTCTTTCTCTGTAATTGTTTGTTTAATGCACGAAATATTGCCCCCCTTTCCACCTGTCCGTCTATCTATTTAAGGAATAAAATTGTCCGTCCATATATTTCTTTTAAAGACAAGATTTTGTCCGTTTGTTCGTTTGTTGAAGAACCGAAACAAGTCCTTCTTTCCGTCCATCTGTCCTTATGTTGAAAGCTCAAAATTGTCCGTCCTTATTTCTATTCATGTAGTGAATTTGTTCGAGTTTCTGTTATAGGTAAGAAATTGTCCGTCCATATGTCTTTCTGTTTAAGATACGAATATGTCCTTCTCTCCTTTCATTGAATGACCAAAATTGTCCTTATTTTCGTTCATCTGTCCTTATGTTGAAAGCTCAAAATTGTCCGTCTGTATTCCTAGCTATGTCGTGAATTTGTCCGTCTGTTTAAGTCTCTAAATAGCCCACTTCTTTCTTTTAAAGTGAAGAAATTGTCCGTCAAAATTGTCTGTCCGTCTTTCTATTCATAACACGAATTTGTCCGTCTGTCGAAGTATCAAAATTTACCCCCTTTAAGGAACTTAATTGTCCGTCCATATGTCTTTCTGTTTAAGAAGCAAATTTTTCCGTCGATCCTTTTGTTAAGGAACCGAAATATTTCTTCTCTACCTCCGTCTGTCTTTCTGCTGAAATACAAATTTCAGTACAAAATGGGAGGATTGAAGATTTGTCAGAGTTTAGGATTTTTTTAGGAACACTTTTCTATTGAAAGCACTTTTTCTATTTTTTAGTTTAAGACTGATTTTAACTTTTAAATTTAAGAACTTTTTTTCTTTAAAACTTGTTAACTTTGATAATCTTCTCTTGGGTTTTTAATTTATAACATTTTCACCAATTGTTTAACTTAAATTCTAGTATAATTTCACTGTATATTCACGATTTGTTTTAAGAATACTTTTAAACAGTTTCTTATATGCTAAATGTTAACCTTAACATTGTAGTAATCATTACAATTTTCCATTTTCGGTTTCACTTACATTAAATTTAGGACGAAAACACACCTCTAAAGAAACTTTTCCTTAAGCATTGCTTCAATAATTGCTTTCCTTAAAAGAGTTATTTTCCTGCTTCACTCTTTCAAAAGAAAAACGCCTCGGTATCATCAGTATTCTCACAATTACTCAAACTCCTTTCGAATTTACGTATGCGCTGATACCATTCCGGATCTGTTTTACACACTTCCTCAGGACGACCGCCATTATAACGATAAAGATATTCCGTTATACCCTGACCCTGCACACCATTAACAGTGCAGGAAACAAATTGATTATAAACCTTGGACTCCCAATTGCCGCCTACATAACGTAGGGCATTATCTTCTTCCTTAATTTGTACAAAATATTTGCCCGCATCGGTGTGAACTATAAAATTTTGATGTTTAGGGGGAACACCCTTTTCACCATAGGAATAGAGTTCGAAATTACATTTGGTAATAGGCTTATACTCGCCCTTTTTGCTGCATATATAACCCACTTTGAGTGAGGATAAGAAGAAGGAGGGTTGTGAGAGATTACCCACCACCATGCTGGTGCCATCCTCTAGGAAAAGAGCAAAATAAACATAACGATTAATGGTGGAAAGGCATCTTTCGGTGCCGAAACTATGATCTCTAAAACCATTCATTCTTAAGGCTAGCAATTTATCATCCACTTTAATGTCTCCGGTAATAAAACCACTTTGTTCGTAATGAGTGCGTTTCTCCAAAATAGTATCCACACTTTTAAGCATCATATAGAAAGATTCATTCCAGGCTTCACGGGCTATAGAATCCGCTATCACCGAGGGACTTAGATCACGGTTGTAATCGAAATGGCTAGTTTCCGAGTGAAATTCCAAGTCTAAATTAACTTTTACCAAGGCACCATTCTCCACTGAAGCCTGCTTAAGTTCTCCTTCATACTTAATGCACCAAAGTTTCATGGGTTCCTTGGGATAGATGTGGTAACCATTGCCCTTAAACTCTGAACTTTCCTCATCACCATTGGTGGTGAAATATAACATATCAGGTAAATTGGGTGAAGCCAAGAGGCCATACTCGGGCAGCCATAAATACAAAGCAGCACGATTGACGCCTCTACGTCTGCGCTCCAAGCTAACCATTAACTTTTGGCCCTTAGCATTGGCGGCCATAAACGAAACCACATCATATGACTTGGGATTATCAGACAAAACCTGAGGTTTATCCAATTGCTGCATGACCTCCTCCGTATGCTTTTCACTACTGTGATAGAAACGATGACGCAAACGTTTCAATACCACCAAAGCCAAAGCATATTTGAAATGATAAAACAGGGATTTGCGAGGATAAATGCCAAAGATTAAACTAGAGCGATGTCTTAAGATCAAAAACACCAAAATCAGCAAACCAAAGAATACCCCAAAAGTGCCGAATGAAGCCACTACTATATCAGCCATAATAACGTTTCTCTTCTCTCTGCAAAACTGTTCAAACTTGTCAACTCTAAAATCTTTAAACGACTGCTGCTTTTCGATTTTAATATCCACCGAAACACCTAAAACCTTCTAGTATATGGCTGTGCCTTTATTAATCTTTTGTTTTATAAAAAAAATCGTTTGACTTCTGTTTTCTTTTTTTTTCATACTTTCCGATAAGATTTCAATTTTTTTTATTATTGAGTATTCCCTATGTTTGTTTGATTTTTATTATATTTCTTCTTTATACCGCGTAATGATAAGCTTTTTTGTCCAGTTATTTGATTTTGCAAATACTACTTGTTTTTGTTCTCCCTTATTCTTAACTTATCTGGTTTCAATTATAAACTTTGAGATCTTTACGTTATTATTAACTAACTATTTTAAACTTTACCATAAACATTAAATGCCTATTCTTACAGTTTAGCTGTATTATCAAATGTTTGATATTGGTTACCAGGTTCTAAAATTTTGTTTTGTAGTTGTTAAGTAATCCTATATTGTTTTTATCTACAAATATAGTGATAATATTATAAATACTATTTGTAATCAAGTTTATGGTTATCGTAAACATTTTATGAATTGGGAAAATTCAATTTAAATTTGATTTATGACCTTAACACTTTACAGCCCTTCATTTTCGAAATTATTCATACTTTTTGTGTGAGAAATCTTTGAGATTTAAAGTCCATTTATAACTATCAAATACTCCAGACTAAATAGTATTTTTGCTAGCATATCTAAAAAGTTCTAGGCTGGTCCAAAGCAGTCCTCCAGCAATTAACTTTCTGTCTCATATTAGGGGGTTTAATCGAATTTCTGTTCCCTCTTCAAACCTTGACTAAATTTTCTAAACCGTGAATGTTTTATAGAAGTAGTCTGAAAGCAAAAGGTTCGATAAATTCTCATTTATTCTCACAATATTTGGATCATCACTCCGTAAAGATCGGAGTCATACTCATGCAAAGAATGCAACTCAGCAAGTTTCAGATGTTTGTTGGCGGACGATCTTCGGTTGCAATAAGATGATACTCTCGATCACCCTATGAATTTCTATGAGCCTGGACCGCTGCAATGTCATAATCGTTTCTGAACGACAAACTTGCATCGGCCAGGGAAAAGATCATTGGATTCAACATTTTCAACTGTCGTCTATCAAAGTAGTCTTTCCTAAAGCAGTTTCTGGATCGTTTTAGTTTCAGAATTTTGTACCCACAACATGAAGGATGAAGCCAATCATCCTTCAAATTGTCGTATCTTCTATCGTATTTCAATAGGTGTTCGTCTGAAAATAGTTTCGTTAGAACATCACCTATATGAAAAAAGAAAACTCGAGTTGTTGGAGATGCAAAATTTCAGCTAGTCGACTTTTCACAACAGAATGATCGAAGTTTTTCCATGATTTCGGAGCGTTAATATGCATAAAGGGTTTCACCCTTTAAATTGTCGCATCTTCCATCGTCTTTCAACAGTTGTTTGTCTGAATATACTATAGTTTCGGTAGAACATAACCCATAAGTAAGAAGAAAACTCTAGTTGTTGGAGCTATTTCCAAACTCCCCCAACGACCGATAAGATGCTAAATTTCAGCTGGTCGAAGAATCCTATAAAAGCCAACTTTTAACAACAGAATGATCGAAGTTTTTCCTTGATTTCGGAGCATTAATGTGCATTATGATTGGCTTCACCCTTTAAATTGTCGCATCTTCCATCGTCTTTCAATAGTTGTTTGTCTGAAAATAGTTTCGTTAGAACATCACCTATAAGAAAAAAGATAACTCGAGTTATTGGAGTTCTTTCCAAACTCCCCAACGACCGATAAGATGCTAAATTTCAGCTGTTCGAAGAATCCTATAGAGGCCTACTTTTCACAACAAAATAATCGAAGTTTTTCCTTGATATCGGAGCATTAATGTATCTACAAACTTAATTTTCCAGTTTGATCTAATCATTTCATAAATATAGTGAATTCTGAGAGTTTATCGACCGTCTCGTCGATGTACTTCCATACTCTACTTACAATCGTTGCATGGTTGGGACTGGGATGTTGGGTTCATTTTATTGAGGAATCTAAATGTATAAAACAGGGAATTTCGAGAGACATCTCATTAGATTGCTACTTAGAACTTCGTCAATGGCCTATACAACGTTTACACTAACTTCGAACAGTAGTAGCAGCATTTTATCTGATTGACTAACGAGAATTTTTGGTAGCACTTAACTTTCACACTCAACAATCTTTGATTTCAAGCTCAAAGCGTAGCAATTCGCCATACTCTAAATGGTCGACCATGCGTAGCTTCTCAACCTCAAAGTCTCAAATTTAGAGCTTTCCAACTTACCACAGCTTTACAACTCAATTGACGTTAACACAGGCCATTTCCTGAATCAAACAAGACGTTTAGAGCAGGGACTTATCATCACCCCCAATAGCTTCACAAGAAATCTTTTACTAATTTAGAGGAGCCCAGTTCAAAGCTTCTTAGCGTCACAGTCTCGGAATTATAGTTTTTCAAACTTGCCGCAGCTTTACAACTCAATTGACGTTAACAGAGACCTGAATCAAACAAGGCGTTCTAAAGCAGAGACTTATCATCCTCTCAACTATTACCTTTCTTAACTCTCCAGAAGATCGCAGCTAAGTTTAGACAGAATAGTTTAAGGAATAACACATTCCAGAGAATAACGCAAACCGTTTAAGGTCATTTAGCAAAAAGATTTTAAAGATCTTTTATTTAAAGAAACGTTTTTTTCTTAACAATTTTTGGACCAGGAACAGATTCAATGACTCACTTAAGCAACTTTCGTTTAAATTTTATTGTCATACACTTAAAGTGATTTAATCGATTTCTTGACACACATCTTAAAGATAACACTATTACACAACTTAAATACGATTATTAGGGTTGGTGGAACTTCCAGCTGCCACAACAGCTTCCTTCTTACGCTTCTTATCTTCTTTCGCAACACCCTCTTCGGCGGCAGCCTTACGTTTAGCGGCCTTCGCTCCTTTAGAAGTATTAGCACTTCTTACCGCAATCAAGGGTATAGATTGAGTAATAACGTTGTTAGTAGAACTTCGCGAATTAGTACTCATTATATCTAAACTTTCCAGCTGTTCGGTTTTAATAAAGTGATGAGACATCATTGGTGAAGGAGCTATCATTAGCAAATTATTGTTGGGAGTCTGGGAATTGTGATTGAATGTTAGTAATTGCTGCTTAACATTACGTTTATTGTCCAATGAACCATTGGTCAGGTTATGATTGGAACTGTTCGATAGATGACCATTTAAGGTGATGCGATTATTGTTATTGGGTTCATTTTCCTGTTTATCCTCCTGTTCCTTTTGCCATTCCAAAACACGTGTCAATAGCTTGATATATTTAATGGCTGAACGTAAAATTTCATTTTTGGAAAGTTTCTTATCTGGAGGATGTGTGGGTACTAGTTTCCTTAGCTCGGCAAAAGCACTGGAAACGTTCTGTTGACGCCAACGTTCTCGTGTGTTAGTGAACACCTTGCGTACCAAAGGAAAACCATTTTTGCCAAACACCTCAGGAGTGGTAGAGCCCACTTGACTAACAGGAGGTGAGGGTCCTATAGGCAAACCTCGGGAGGAGGAACTATGATTGCTAAGGGAGGCACCTTTTCGAAAAACAAAAGCAATATTAAAATATTATTTTCAAACTCCAATTTCATCTATAAAAACTACCTTCATTTAGTGAACCATTTAGCAAAACACAATTGCGAAACTCTTCCTCATCTTCTTCGGTATCATTTAAAGAGAAATCCGATAATTCAGCATCTGATAGATTTTCAGTTTTGGGATTTAAAAACGCGTGTGTTCCCCTGATTAAAGCTGGAGGATTACCTCTTATACCAGACGATCTCATGGGTAGCAAAACATTTTCCATGCTACAACTACTAGAAACCGTTGCAGTTTCTTTAACTGTTTCCTTTTCTGTAGACTCTACTGCTTGATTTGCTTTATTGGTTTCCATATTTAAGATTTTCTTAACCTGTTTATCTTCACCTTCTGACCAGGCCATTTCCTAAGAACTCCTGGTTTATATATTTGAAATTATTTAATTGCTGCCACTTTGTGTCCTTCCTGTTGTAGTGCAATCTCAATAATGTCCTTAATTCCAGTGTGTATGCCATATTTGTATGAAAATTTTCTACATACTTGTTGGGTGTTTTTTCAAAACCCACCCCACTATATTATTGAAAGAGGCGGAGTTTATTCCTGTAAAGTGTGTGTGTGTGTCAATATTAACTCAGAACGAGTGTTTGGATGCTGATAAGCTAACAACCCCTAATTGTTTGTCAATAAACCAGTGAGATATTTATATAGAAAGAAGTAAAATATTTGAAGGAAGGAAAGGCCCTTGAAGACAATTTCAAGGATTTTGGCACGTTTATATTTTCACACAGAGCTTGAGTAATTTTGCTGGGATATGTATCAGAAGTTTAGTGTGAGAATAATTCTGTAAAAGTAACTTGTATGAGAAATTTATAAAAGGAACTCTAGACTGTAGTCTCGAATAGAACTAGGCTATACAATAGACTAGAATATAGACTAGACTATAGACTAAACTATAGACTAGACTATAGACTAGACTATAGACTAGACTATAGACTAGGCTATAGACTAAAATATAGACTAGACTATAGACTAATCTATAGACTTGACTATAGATTAGAATATAGACTAGACTATAGACTAATCTATAGACTAGACTATAGACTAGCCTATAGACTAGACTATAGACTAGACCATAGACTATACTATAGAATAGACTATAGACGAGACTATAGACTAGACTATAGACTAGACTATGGACTAGACTATACTATAGAATAGACTATAGACCAGACTATAAACTAGACTATAGACTAGACTATAGACTAGACTATAGACTAGACTATAGACTAGACTATAGACTAGACTATAGACTAGACTATAGACTAGACTATAGACTAGACTATAGACTAGACTATAGACTAGACTATAGACTAGACTATAGACTAGACTATAGACTAGACTATAGACTAGACTATAGACTAGACTATAGACTAGACTATGGACTAGACTATAGACTAGACTATAGACTAGACTATAGACTAGACTATAGACTAGACTATAGACTAGACTATAGACTAGACTATAGACTAGACTATAGACTAGACTATAGACTAGACTATAGACTAGACTATAGACTAGACTATAGACTAGACTATAGACTAGACTATAGACTAGACTATAGACTAGACTATAGACTAGACTATAGACTAGACTATAGACTAGACTATAGACTAGACTATAGACTAGACTATAGACTAGACTATAGACTAGACTATAGACTAGACTATAGACTAGACTATAGACTAGACTATAGACTAGACTATAGACTAGACTATAGACTAGACTATAGACTAGACTATAGACTAGACTATAGACTAGACTATAGACTAGACTATAGACTAGACTATAGACTAGACTATAGACTAGACTATAGACTAGACTATAGACTAGACTATAGACTAGACTATAGACTAGACTATAGACTAGACTATAGACTAGACTATAGACTAGACTATAGACTAGACTATAGACTAGACTATAGACTAGACTATAGACTAGACTATAGACTAGACTATAGACTAGACTATAGACTAGACTATAGACTAGACTATAGACTAGACTATAGACTAGACTATAGACTAGACTATAGACTAGACTATAGACTAGACTATAGACTAGACTATAGACTAGACTATAGACTAGACTATAGACTAGACTATAGACTAGACTATAGACTAGACTAGACTAGACTATAGACTAGACTATAGACTAGACTATAGACTAGACTATAGACTAGACTATAGACTAGACTATAGACTAGACTATAGACTAGACTATAGACTAGACTATAGACTAGACTATAGACTAGACTATAGACTAGACTATAGACTAGACTATAGACTAGACTATAGACTAGACTATATAGACTATAGACTAGACTATAGACTAGTCTGACTAGACTATAGACTAGACTATAGACTAGACTTAGACTAGACTATAGACTAGACTATAGACTAGACTATAGACTAGACTATAGACTAGACTATAGACTAGACTATAGACTAGACTATAGACTAGACGATAGACTAGTAGACTAGACTATAGACTATACTAAATAGACTAGACTATAGACTACTATAGACTAGACTATAGACTAGACTATAGAGTAGACTATAGACTAGACTATAGACTAGACTATAGACTAGTCTATAGACTAGTCTGTATACTAGACTGTAGACTAGACTATAGACTAGACTATAGACTAGACTATAGATTAGACTATGGACTAGACTATAGACCAGACTATAGACTAGACTAGCTAGACTAGACTATGGACTAGACTATAGGCTAGACTAGACTATAGTCTAGACTAAGTATAGACTTTAGACTAGACTATAGACTAGACTATAAACTAGACTATATATGAGGTTAAGGAATACTTCAAATAACTTTCCATAAGTGTTGATAGCAAGCATCCCCTTATTCACTTGTTAATGCTGTTTCTATGTTCACACTACATTACTCACTCCTTTTAGCAAAAAGTGACCTTTTTAATCCTCTCAATTAATAAAATTCAATGTAGTTGATTATTGCTTCCTTATCGGCGTGTGTTAATAAACCAGTGCAAATCATATTATCGTTGTGATAATAAAGAGGCGTTGCAAAAACATGAGAAGGAGTATTAAAAAATGTTTGATAAAAAAGGAAAAATGTTGTTCCTTAAAAAGGGAAAATGTGAAAAAAGTCATTATAATTATGAAATTGTTACAATTGTTAAGTGGCCATTAGAAAAAACTGTGGGAAAACAAGGAAAAGTTTAATCCTTTTTTTACAGGATTTTCCACAATATTTGTAAATTATTAATTAATAAAAAATAGAAGAAATTCAAAAAATTTTAAAAAAATAAAAGAAAATTAATTTCTTTTAAAAAAATTTGAATTTTTGAAAATTTTACATTTTAGAAGTTCTTAAAAAAGTTAAAAAAGTTTTTATCTTTATCTGTAAACTCTATTTAATTTCATTCTAAAACTAGGATTTAACAAAATTTTTTATCTGTATTGCTAACACGTGCTTATTTGTTGTCACGTGTTGTTATTATTATTGATCATTTAAAGTCACTTTTTTACTTCATATATAAAACAGACTGCAATCCACAAATTTGATTTCTATTACTCAAAAAATAAACAAACAAAAAATCAACCCCCTTTTCTTCCCACTTTGTGGGAAGTTTTACTACGATTTACTACTAATTTGATATTGATATTTTTCTTCCTATTAGATTTTCATCTCCTGACGATATGAGATATATAATCCTATTAGTGACACAATTATGTGGCATAAGTTAAGAGAGCAACGGGTGTCAAAATATCTATTTAATTTAATCTAACGTGTGACTTTTTAGATGAACGTTTGTTGGGTTCTAATTAAAGGACATTTTGGTCTATTGCTTTCCTTCTCTTTCCCTCTTTGTTATAGTACTTTAGTTATCTAATAACTTGTGTATTTATTCATTACATATACGTTACTTTTTAACTGTGATACAGATTAAGAGCAGGTTCTCATGCCACAAATAGTTTGGTGGCTGTTGTCCGTTATTATCCTTAAATTAGTTGTTGATAGAGGGTGACAAATTGGTTTGAAGTGTTTTATTTGGGAATTTTAAGTCTATAGTGTAGTCTATAGTCTAGTCTATAGTGTAGTCTATAGTCTATTCTAGTGTAGTCTATAGTGTAGTCTATAGTGTAGTCTATAGTCTAGTCTATAGTCTAGTCTACAGTCTAGTATACAGTCTAGTCTATAGTCTAGTCTATAGTCTAGTCTATAGTCTAGTCTATAGTCTAGTCTATAGTCTAGTCTATAGTCTAGTCTATAGTCTAGTCTATAGTCTAGTCTATAGTCTAGTCTATAGTCTAGTCTATAGTCTAGTCTATAGTCTAGTCTATAGTCTAGTCTATAGTCTAGTCTATAGTCTAGTCTATAGTCTAGTCTATAGTCTAGTCTATAGTCTAGTCTATAGTCTAGTCTATAGTCTAGTCTATAGTCTAGTCTATAGTCTAGTCTATAGTCTAGTCTATAGTCTAGTCTATAGTCTAGTCTATAGTCTAGTCTATGTCTAGTCTATAGTCTAGTCTATAGTCTAGTCTATAGTCTAGTCTATAGTCTAGTCTATAGTCTAGTCTATAGTCTAGTCTATAGTCTAGTCTATAGTCTAGTCTATAGTCTAGTCTATAGTCTAGTCTATAGTCTAGTATATAGTCTAGTCTATAGTCTAGTCTATAGTCTAGTCTATAGTCTAGTCTACAGTCTAGTCTCTAGTCTAGTCTATAGTCTAGTCTATAGTCTAGTCTATAGTCTAGTCTTATCGTCTAGCTCTATAGTCTAGTCTATAAGTCTAGTCTATAGTCTGTCTACAGGTCTCAGTCTATAGTCTAGTCTATAGTCTAGTCTATAGTCTAGTCTATGAGTCTAGTCTATAGTCTAGGTCTATCGTCTAGTCTCTAGTCTAGTCTATAGTCTAGTCTTATAGTTCTAGTCCTATAGTCTAGTCTATAGTCTAGTTCATTAGTCTAGTTCATAGTCTAGTTCATAGTCTCGTTTCATAGTCTAGTCTAGAGTACAGTCTAGTCATAGTCAGTCTATAGTCTATCTATAGTCTAGTCTATAGTCTAGTCTATAGTCTAGCTCTATAGTCTAGTCTATAGTCTAGTCTATAGTATAGTTCTATAGTCTAGTCTATAGTCTAAGTCTATAGTCTAGTCTATTAGTCTAGTCTATTAGTCTAGTCTATAGTCTAGTCTATAGTCTAGTCTATAGTCTAGTCTATAGTCTAGTCTATAGTCTAGTCTATAGTCTAGTCTATAGTCTAGTCTATAGTCTAGTCTATAGTCTAGTCTATAGTCTAGTCTATAGTCTAGTCTATAGTCTAGTCTATAGTCTAGTCTATAGTCTAGTCTTAGTCTAGTCTATAGTCTAGTCTATAGTCTAGTCTATAGTCTAGTCTATAGTCTAGTCTATAGTCTAGTCTATAGTCT